AGCCACCCAGGCACCCTAATATGGTTTTTCTTAGGGTGTAAAGGTAACCAGTATCTTTACCTTCATCTTAAATGAGGCAAGGACCTTAGAATGCTTTAGCTTTGATCACAGCCCTCCCAGATTGCATGCTATTGTCTTGTTTTAGTTCTAGCTGGTTCTTCTCCATCCTTCTCCACATACAGGTGAAGTAGGCATCATTATTATCTTCACAGTTTGTGTTTGTTTTGATTTGCCTACATATTTACCAATATCTTTGCTTACTATTTTTGTATCTTAGACCTTCAATCTGAGATCATTTTTCTGTATAGAAATATATACTTTATAATATTCTTTCAGTGAGAATCTTTTGCTAGTAAATTGTCTTTGTCTGAAAATGTCTTTACAATGCCCTTGTTTTGAAAGTTGTTTTTACTGTGTGTAGAACTCTAGGGTAACAGTTAAATTCTCTTAGGACATTGACAATATTATTCCACTGGCTCCTTTCTACAGTTGTTGAGTCAGTCTAATTGTAATCTGTCATTTTTTCTTTTCTCTCTGGATGCTTTTTAAGAACAGCTTTATTGAAATGTAATTCATGTATAATATAATCTACCCTCTTAAGGTATACAATTCAGCTGGCTTTCAGTATGTTCACGGATATGTGTAACCATGAGAATAGTCAATTTTAGGACATTTTCATCACTTCAAAAACCCCAAACCCTTTATCATTCCCCTATCTTCCTATTCAGCGGTTCCTAAATAACACCTAATCTTTTTTCTGTCTTTAAAGATTTGCCTATTTTTAATCTATTTTCTGTCTCAGAGATTTGTGTATTCTGGACATTTCATATAAATGAAATCATATGTAGTCTTTTATGACTGGCTTTGTAACATAATGTTTTCAAGGTTCGTCCATGTAGCACATATCAGTGCTTCATTTTTTAACCTGTTATATTTTTTCATAACTTAAAATCTACCACCTGAACTATTTTTTTATAATATATATATTTTTAAGATTATTTTTTTATTTGACAGACAGAGATCACAAGTAGGCAGAGAGGCAGGCAGGGGTGGAGGGAAGCAGGCTCCCTGCAGGACCCTGGGATCATGTCCCGAGGTGAAGGCCGTCACTTAACCAACTGAGCCACCCATGTGTGCCTGTTCCCAGGGTGGGCCCTAAGCTTTACCATCAGCTACCCAGCTCCTACCTCTTTTTGTAGCTATTAAAGCTATAAATTCAAGATTTGTAAGGTTTGGTAGAAATTTTAAGGAGAGATCTTATTCAGTATTCAGTGTTTCCTTTTAAACTTTGTTTTTGGGAACTGCAGTTTCTTTGCTTTCATGCCAGCTCAGAAATGTACTTAAACAACTGGTTACATGGTTTAAAAAAACATTGCTGAGTTGGCAAGAAAGGTAGGGTCATTTGGGTTGTCTAATATACATTATTTTTATAAATAGTAATCAGGTGAGAAGGTCAGTAAGTTCTAAGGCCAAGGTGATTTGTTGATATAGATATTAAAATATTCTGGCATGTTATTGGGATTAGGATTAGAGTGGAAGACTGGATCAGATGCCTAAACCCTGTGGGAATTTTTGGAATTTAGTGAGAGGTTAGTAGTGAATAGATAGGGTGTAGGTTGGTTGGAGGAAATGAGGTTGGGTGGACTAAGGAAGTCTCTTTGTATACAAGAATGAAAGAGTAGTACCTTGAAGTAGCAAGAGAACGTAAGGATGCTCATCTCTCCTGCTTACCCTGTGATACACAGGAATGGATGAATGATGAGTAGCATGTGATTGACTCCTCCTTAACTTTGACATCTCTCTTAACCTCATGTTTTCCTTTTAAGATTATTTATTTATTTATTTTTAAGATTTTATTTATTCATTTGAGAGAGAGAGGCAGAGGAAGAGGAAGAAGGAGAAGCAGACTCCCCACTGAGTTTAGAGCCGATAAGGGGCTCAATCCCAGGACCTGGAAATCATGACCCGAGACAAAGGCAGATGCCTAACCATCTGAGCCACCTAGGCGCCTCTAAGATTTTTTATTTATTTAATTGAGAGAGAGAGTAGGGAGAGGGGTCCTTCATATTATTTTTATTGATAAACTAATCAAATTGCAGAACAGATGAATTCTGTATTTTAGCATACTTTGTAAAGAGTGAGAAATACTAAAAGCATGCTTTCCCCTTTCTTGTAATAGCTTAATAGACTGAGACTGAGTTCTTTTAGGTAGGGACTGAGCCTTTTATAACCCAAGAATTAGTAACACCATTCATAGCACTTAGAATGTAAACTTCCTAAGAGCAGGCCTTTTTGTCTGTTTTAGTCACTGTGCAATAAATATTTGTTTCATGAATGAATGAATGAATGAATGAATAGAAGATACTCATAAATGTTTGTCAAATCAATTGCAGTATATTTGAATAGTTTTCATGATGTTGATGCGTTTCTTACTCAGTTTGGCAAGAGGGAAGGGGACCTAGTTTTTTTCTTTACCCTTTTTCTGTCTCTCTTAAAAATATTTGTTGAAATATGATACATGTAAAGAAAATAGCTTGTATCATAAGTGATCAGCTCAATTAATTATCCTAAACTGAATGCATTTGTATAAACATCACCCCGATCAAGAAGTAGGAAACCCAACTTTTAGAAGTGTTACTTCTAACAACATGCCAGACATGCCAGAAGTGTTACTTCTTAAAGTAACATTTTCATGTAATTTGGTGGGAGCCTGACTCTTTAGTGACTCAGAAACAATGGTTACTATTTGTCAGAAAGGCAATTGTAAAGTCTTAGATGTGTATGATGTGATTAAAATAGAACATCAGATTTACTATAATGCTGGAGCCTAGAGCAAGTGATTGTGTGACACTCATTTTATATCTAACAGGACAAATTGTGTTGCTAATGGTTTATATCCTAGGGATGTAAGGTTTTGAGTTTTTTAACGGATAGTTAACTGTATTTTGTATAGGATATTTTAAACTTGGTCATATTATATGTTCTTCTCTTTTAAAAAAAATCCTGTATCTTGGGGCACCTGGGTGGCTCAGTGGGTTAAGCCTCTGCCTTCAGCTCAGGTCATGATCTCAGGGTCCTGGGATCGAGCCCCACATCGGGCTCTCTGCTTAGCAGGGATCCTGCTTCCTCCTCTCTCTCTCTGCCTGCCTCTCTGCCTACTTGTGATCTCTGTCAAATAAATAAATAAAATATTTAAAAAATCCTGTATCTAAATTCATGCTTCTTACAAGTATGTCCAAAATCTGAAACCACTTCTAAGTAGAGGATAGGCAATATAGAATGCTGTACTTTGGACTTTAAAGTTTTGATTCGTGATACAAGTTTGTATAAAGAAAGTCTTTGCTTTCATTGTCTTCTCTAGTTCCAATACATAATTTACTTTTTTGATTTCCTAACATCTAAGGCAAGTGTTGGCAAATTTTTTCTTAAAGTGCCAGGAAGTAAATATTCAGATGTAAGGGCCATACTACCTCTCACAACTACTTACTCCACTGGTGTAGTGTGAAAGCAGCTATAGACAATACATAAGCAACTGAGACAGTGTTCAATAAAACTTTATTTATAATAACCAGTGCTGGACTGGATTTGACCCACAGGTTGTTTACTCATCACTGTAGTAGATTATTTCCTTGTCTGATAAACAGGTGTTCTTAATTTAACGATCTCTAATTTATGGAGGGTTTTTCTTTTATGTTTTATTTTGTAGCTATCATTTTCTTTTCTGAAAGAGAAAAACTGCTACCCTCTGGTCATAAAGATTTTCTCTTATGTTTTTTTCTAGAACAGGTAGTGGTAAACTTTTCCTGTAAAGGGCCAGATAGTAAATATTTTAGGCTTTGTAGGCCATAGAGTCTGTCACAACTCTGTCACAACTGTTACTCTGTCACAACTACTCAGCTCTGCTGTTGTAGTCAGAAAGCAGCTATAGATAATTCATAAATGAATGCGTGTGGCTATGTTCCAGTAAAACTTGATTCACTAAAACATGAACTGTAGTTTGCTGACCCATGGTCTAGAATAAAACCTCAACAAGTGGACCCTCAAAATGAAACGGTACAAAGGAACCAATCATTCAGTAACCTAAGTAACAAATTTGTTGCATGTATGTTATTTGCCAAACAGAGCTAAATGGTTAATTAAATTATGGTATATCCACTCCCAGGAATACTAACATCATTGAAAATGATCATTTGAAGACTAAACAACTTGGGAAAATGCTTTTTTTTTTTAGATTTAAAAAAAATTATTTGACAGAGAGAGAGAGATAGAGAGAGAGAGAGCACAAGTAAGCAGAGGGGCAGGCAGAGGGAGGGGGGGAAGCAGGCTCCCTGCCCAGCAGAGAGCCCCATGTGGGGCTCGATCCCAGGACCCTGAGATCATGACCCGAGCCGAAGGCAGAGGCTCAACCCACTGAGCCACCCAGGCGCCCAGGAAAATGCTTTTTAAAAAGATTTTATTTATCTGACAAAGAGAGACAGAGAGAACAAGCAGGGAGGAGGAGCAGAGGGAGAGGAAGAAGCAGATTCCCTGCTGAGCAGGGAGCCTGATGCAGGGCTCTATCCCAGGACCCTGGGATAATGACCTGAGCCAAAGGCAGACACTTGACCAACTGAGCTACCCAGGCGTCCCAGAATAATGCTTTTAAGTGGGGAATCAAGATAAAAGTTTTAAGTTTATGTCATAATAAATATGGACTACTGGAGGGGGGAATACATGAATTTTTGTTAGATTGGAGGATCTTTTTCTGTTTTTCAAGTTGTCTGCAGTGTTTCTATATTCCAAAAGTACCTTAATATGGTATAATGAGATACCAATGAACACTATTGGCTTTTACCACTATGTTGTAGTATGAAAAATGGAAGCTTTTAGAACTATTGTTCAGCAAAATCCTGAAGCCTTTTTACTTAATCAGTAGAAGATTGACATTTGAGGAAAATGTGTTGCCACTCTGTTCAAGATATATTGTCATTTCTCTTTTTAAATTTTTCATATTTTAACAGTGCCCTTATGTCTGCCATTTGTTATATTTACTTACCAAAAAAGAGAATGGTGAGTATTTTCATTCCAGTTATATTACATTTACTCTGTAGAATTAGCATTTGTATTGGCCTTTATAAAGTTAACTAGTAGCATTAGTTCTATGTCAAGATTTTGTGGGAATTGTATTTTAGTACTTTTAGAGCATCTGCTTACTGGTTTAACTGAACAGGGTATTTATATTTTTGATGTGTTGTAAGAAGGTGCTATATGAGCCACATAGTTTGTTTTTATTTTGAACCCCATGTGTTGTACTTTTTTTTACCTTTTCTAGTCAAACCATTTCGGGTGAGAAAATTGCTTGATCTTCAGGCCAAAATGGTGAGTATTAAAAAGCCCTAAAATTGGCCAGTGTACTCTGTGTTACTGGGCTTTGGGGAATATAAAATTGAATGAGTCATGATCTTCAAGGAACTTACTGTGTGGGGAGCTTAGTCAATGGAATAAAAAATCAGAGTAAGATTGGATTCAAGAAGGAGTGGTGATGATTGAGAGAAATTTTAACGAATTAATATGATTTAACTAGGCCAAGAAGGAAGAGAAGGGCAGAGGGAACAGTATAAATAAAGACACATAGATGGCAAACAGCAAAACTGTTTAGGGAACTGGGTTGCCATTGCTGGAAAACAAGTGTCAGGAGTAATTAAAAACTTCCTCTATTTAAGTAACATGGCTGGTTTGTTTGTTTGTTTGCTTAAGTTTTTGTGGATATGATCTAGGAAAGCATTCCTTTCTAGACACATAAACTTCATAATATTCCCTGACTGTTATCTCTTGTCCTTACAGCTCTCTTACATTGTTATTTCCACTATACCTGTCAGGTAACAGAAGTCTATGAAGCTTTGAGTATGAAACAGTAGGAAGTTGTAGTGTCTATCCTAACTGTTGGAGCCTGCATGATCTACCTGAAGGCATTCAAATTTAATGAAAAGCACAAACACATGTGCACATTCATGCTTCTCCAGTGCATGTAACATGCTTTCCTGTTAGGACAATTCAACGATCATTGTTTCATAGCTCCCTGTTTTGGTTCTATCAGTGCAATATCTTCTCTAAGTTCTCTGAAGGTGTCAGTGATAATGTTTCTGTCCAAATTGAATTATATTTCACAGTAATATGAATGGTGAAGAAGTTGTACATTTTTCCATGTGAACAGCAAAGTATTTCAGAGGACTACTGAAAATTCTTAGCATAAATAAGATCTTATCGATTTGTATTAACTGAAACAACAGCATATGTTCAAGTATAGAAAATGATTTAGTACATGATTGTATAAAAATTTTAAACCCAGACATTGAATGTATGACTTCATTAATAACATTTTATATAGTATATTATTAAATTATCCCATTCTCAATGGCCATTTATAGAGATGCATTTTTAAAAGATTTTAATTCATTTGAGAGAGAGAGAGCGAGAGCATGAGCAAGGGGGAGGGTCAGAGACAGTGGAAAAGCAGACTACCTGCTGAGCAGGGAGCCCGACGTGGGGTTCCATCCCAGGCCCCTGTGATCATGACCTGAGCCAAAGGCAGACACTTAACCAACTGAGCCACCCAGGCACCCCTATAAAGGTGCATTTATAATTGTTTTAATTAGCTGAATTTTGGTGAATTTGGTTAAGTCCAACAATATCAAACCAAGAAGGCATAGTGTGCTTACATGTGGTTACAGGCATAATCTGCATGTTAGAGCAAATAAATTGAATATGTGAATTTCTGACACCTGCAATGGCATGTATCTCCTCTATACCCATTCATACCCATAATTCCTGATCCATGAATGAAACAAAATACAGAAATTGTCTTTCTGGAGGCAAACATGAATGGTGGGAAGTGGAGCAGGCATGTTGTTATCATACATACACCAGGCTCTGTTGAGACCAGTTTTTGGAACAGAGGTGGGGAGTTAGCTCTCCCCTGAGGGTTGGTAAGAATGGTTTCTAGGATTCTCCTCTCTACCCAGCATGAGCCTATGTGACTTGGGCTATGATTTTTTTCCCCCTATTTCCAGCTTTGTCTCTGCTTCCTCAGAATTCCTTTCTTTAGTTAGTTTGGTCTTTCATAGCAGAGGCCTTCTCAAATGCCTGGCAAACCTTGTTTTTCCATATTTAATAGTAAAGAACTAAAATGGTAATTGGAAGGTTTTGCATGTGAGCAGGACTTGTTCATTGTAGGATCTTGATGTTTCACTAGGGAGCCCCATAGATGGCTGTGTCACTTTCCCTGGAGAGGAATTCTCTTATTTCCTGCCTAGGGGTTGTATTAGGCTTCTCTAGAGAAACAGAACCAATAGGATGCATGTATAGATATATAGAAGGGTATTTATTATAAGGAATTGACTTGTATGATCGTGAAGCTAGCAAGTCCATAGTCTGTGGGGGGCCAACAGGCTAGAGACCCTGGAGAGCTGATGTTTCAGTTTGAGTCCAAAGGCAGTCTGCTGTAGAACCAGAAAGAGCTGGTGTTACAGATACTCTTTTAAAGTAGGCTGCTGGAGAATTCTTTCTTGCTTGGGAGAGGCTGGTCTCTTTGTTCTATAAGGGCTTTCAACTGATTGAATGAGGGCCACCCACATTATGAAGGGCAGTCTACTCAAAGTCCATCAATTTAAGTGTTAATCTCATGTAAAACACTCTCACAGGTGCACCCCAAATAATGTTTGACTAAATATCTGGGCACTCTGGGACCCAGCCAAGTTGACATATAAAATTTACCATCATAGGTTATAAACTTGACTACTAGCCCCATGGGATGTAAGCAGTGAAAGGGGGTGAGGAAGGAATTTGGGGCTGTACTTCTTACTTAGGTTTTCAACCAATCCTGTTTTCTGCCTCTTGTAATTCTGCTACCTCCACTTTTCAGAGGTATCTGGTCCCTCAAATTCTTGAGCCTTTTTGAGAGTTCTCAAATCTGAATCTGCTGCTTTTGAGCCTTTTTCTGTTGCTACTTTAGGTTTTGTTTTCTCTGTTTTGCTAAATTCACTACTCTTTGTCCATTTTCTTTTCATTCTAGGCTCTAAAATCTTTTAGGGATCTTTTCATTTGCTGTTGTGTCTTCTCTTGTTCTCTTTGAATGTGTGCTTTATGCCTTTTTCATTCCTTTAGTTTTCAGTGGGGCTTTTGGGGGCTTTAAATCCATATGTTCAATATGCCATGTTTAACTGGAATTCTTTTTAAAAAAGCAGAGAATGTTAACTTTTTAACAACTAAGATATATTCATTTAACTAGACAATAAATGCTAAAGGTCTCTCCTCTACTAAATATTTGCTCTATCAAAAAACGTTCCAAGTCAAAACAAACACTTATACTAATTGACAATGAGTACAGAGATTGGAAGGTTTTTAGCATAGATAAACTGGATTATTTTGGTTTTGTTATAACAAATTTAATTTCAAGAAGCTGTTACAGGGGCGCCTGGGTGGCTCAGTGAGTTAAAGCCTCTGCTTTCGGCTCAGGTCATGATCCCAGGGTCCTGGGATCGAGCCCCACATCGGGCTCTCTGCTCAGCAGGGAGCCTGCTTCCCTCTCTCTCTCTGCCTGCCTGTCTGCCTACTTGTGATCTCTGTCAAATAAATGAATAAAATCTTTAAAAAAGAAGCTGTTATAAAAATAAGAATACTGTATTTCTAAGCCCCATTTCTGCCTTCCTTATTTTGAACAGTATTTGATTCAACAAAATTGTCATATAATAAAAGCAGTTTGGTTATTTTCTTGGAATTCATTTTAGTGGTATGCTTTCTCTGGATAGCCAGATATATCTAACACAGGTATCCAGCAGTAAAGACTTCTGTCATTATAATATTAATGTTTATATTAAGACTTGTTTTAGTTCTATCAAGCTGCTTGACCACTGCAGTTGTTGGATTTCCTAGTTAATTTTCCAGGAACTATGATAATAAGATTTTAATATTTCTTTTGCCCTGTTTTCTTGGCTTCCCTTTTTGTCTTCCCACCTTTCTGTCTAAATCAAGAATGAATCAACTTTGAGTCCTGAGTATGCTACCAGTGAATGTAAGCCATGCTAGCAGTATAAGTGGTAGACCTAAGGCATGGACAGAGAAGAAGAGAGAAAATATAAAAAGTAAAGTAGGAGAAAAGGTCATAAAAGAGAAGTCCACAGGCTGGCGAGGGTAGTTTTATGACCGTTGATTTAAATGTCTGGTTATTTATTCTTTGATTTTCTTTTTTAAAAAAAGATTTTATTTATTTATTCAACAGAGAGAGACACTGTGAGAGAGGGAACACAAGCAAGGGGAGTGGGAGAGGGAGAAGCAGGCTTCCCACTGAGTAGGGAGCCTGATGTGGGGCTCGATTCCAGGACCCTGAGATCATGACCTGAGCCAAAGGCAGATACTTAATGACTGAGCCACCCAGGCACCCCTATTCTTTGATTTTCTATATCATCTTCCTATACCATATCACATAGTAAAATTAGGACACTTAATCTGTTTACTTTATCATTACTTTTTTTCCTTATGCCATAGGGTTGAAAATTGAAAATTTTCAATTTTCCTATTTCATTTCAGGGAATGCAGCCTCATCTCCAGGCTTTGTTGTCATTGTATAAGTTCTTTGCTCCTACGTTGATTTCTGTAACTTTGCCTGCAAGGAAGAAGGTAAGGGATTAAGGAGTGGTAAGTCATATTGAGATTGAAATGTGTTATTTTTTAAGTCAATTTGCAGATTTGAACTGAAATGTTTACAGCATACTGTTTTAAGATCTAGTATTGCAGGGATGCTTGGGTGTCTCATTCGGTTAAGTATCTGCCTTTGGCTCAGGTCATAATCCCAGAGTCCTGGGATCGAGTCCCATGTCGGGCTTCCTGCTTGGCAGGGAGCCTGCTTCTCCCTCTGCCTGCCACTCCCCTGCTTGTGTTCTTTTCTATCTCTCTGACAAATAAATAAATAAAATCTTAAAAAAAAAAGATCTAGTATTGCAGCACTGTTTCTGGAAAGTTTTTTTAGGGATTGGAACTTTGTTTTGATTCTATTTGATGTATTTAATAGATTCTTGATCAGAAAAAAACCTAAATGGATTTGCATGGCTGCAAAATGTTTCATAATTAATATGCTTTCAGTTAATGAACAGTTTGGGATTTTATATTGCTTTGGGTTATGGGTACCTACTCATGTACTTTAATCCAATTTTTTATAGATCTATTTTAAGAATTCAGAGAATTTGTGGAAAGCAGCTCTATTTGCTGTGAGGCAAAGGAATCAGGGACCCCCTCCTGAACCTCTAAAATTGATGTTAGGTCCAGGTCAAGTCCGTCCTGTAAAAAGGGTAAGTATTTAATAGCCCAGATGATTTGTGCACGTTCTTTTCTTAAATCCAAACAATAAACATTCAGATGTTTGAAGAGATTGTAGATATTTAAATACATTTCAACTGCCCAGGATTCTATGCAAACCACATTCAGACCTCATTAATTGAACAACCTCAACAATTGCTTTTACATTTAGTTTGTAGTCTGTTTAGTCTATTGATAGATTGTTTTATTGTCTTTCTTCTTTAGAAATGGAATTCTTACTCAGTTATACCAGTGCTAAATTCTAGTAGCTGCATTAAAGAATGTGGGAAAAAAGAGAGGACTCTTTCTGATTATCTCAGTAGCAATGAATCGTTTCCACTAGAACAGCTTAAAAGCTTCCCTCAGCTCTTACAGAACATCCACTGCTTAGAGGTATGGGACTGGACCATGTGCTTATCTGCATTTTTCATTTGATTTTCATACCCTTTATTTTTGTTATATATTTGCTTTCTGATGATTTCCTTGTTGCTATAACCTACTTTTCATATACTTACAGTTGACTTATCTCTTTGCAGCTGCCTTCTCAGATGGGTGCAGTGTTGAACAACTCTCTGTTACTTCACTATCTTAACTGTGTCAAAGATGAGTCTATCTTACTGAGGCTTTATCACTGGTTGAGTCAAACATTACAAGAAGGTAAAAATTGTTATTAAAAGCATTAGGTGAATGAGGAAGGAACAAAATAGTTCATATCTTTTATAAGGGTAACAAATTCTAAATAGGAGGAGGCTTTATATGCTGTAACTATTTCTCTGATAATCATATATTTAGAGCTGCTATGCTTTCCTTGTAATTTTAGGAGACAATAAGAAAGGGGGTGTGTTGTTAAGGAAACATTGCTGGATGGCCACCTAAACTCACTGTGTGTCTCCATTTTGATCACCATCACATTCCAAAGCCTCTTCATCTATATATGTCTAGAAACTTACTGTTCAGGCCCCGGAATCATCAGACTAGTGCTAAACACACTCAGAGAAGACTAATATATAAGTCAGAATATCAACTTACTATTTTATAATAGAAGTAATTCTTTTTGGTGACCAAAATGTTCATGTCTGCCAACAATAGTATCTCCTTTCTGCCATCAGTATAGATGAGAGCCAAATTAGTCATTAGAAGATTTCTTAACTACAGAATTGAAGGAAAGAGCAATAAGGGAGTTTTTCATCCAGGCCGTAGTAAATAAAGCCTGATCATTGTATTCCTCTAAGGGGGTCAGTTTCTCTAGAGATCGTATTTCTGTTGACCGGATTGTTTCTTTCTTGGGTAAGCAACTCCTGACTCTTGAAGTATTTATTTACTTATTTATTTGTAATTTTTAAAAAAGATTTTATTTATTCATTTGACAGAGAGAGAGAGAGATCACAAGTAGGCAGAGCAGCAGGCAGAGAGAGAGGGGGAAGCAGGCTCCCTGCCAAGCAGAGAGCCCAATGTGGGGCTTGATCTCAGGACCCTGAGATCATGACCTGAGCTGAAGGCAGAGGCTTAACCCACTGAGCCATTCAGGTGCCCCGTCTTGAAGTATTTAAAGTTGGTTTTAGTTAGTTCCAGGCTAATTCTCCTTTTCCTGCTCAGTTTTTCTTTAGATTGGATATGATATAATTAGATTACCACTTACTAAAAGTCATACCTGTATAGTCTTTTGGACTACTATGTGACTGAAGCTAATCACATTTATTTTTTTTTAAATGTTTTATTTATTTATTTGAGAGAGAGACAGTGAGAAAGAGCATGAGTGAGGAGAAGGTCAGAGGGAGAAACAGACTCCCCATGAGCTGGGAGCCCGATGTGGGACTCGATCCGGGACTCCAGGATCATGACCTGAGTTGAAGGCTGTCGCTCAACCAACTGAGCCACCCAGGCGCCCTGCTAATCACATTTATTATATATCAGTTTTACTAGTTTATTTTTTCACTGTAAGCTTTCCCTATATCATTAAGTTCTTGAGAAACATCTCACTATCACTTCCACCTACCTGTTACAGTCTGTAGTGCAAGTTGGTTAGGGTGTATAAGACTAATTACTTGTTTGTATTTGTCACATCACTTTAGAAAAGTGGTAATTATTTGTATAGTTTTTATTGTCATTCACCCAGATACTTATGTTTAATATTTCTGTTCCAGAGTGCATTTGGTACAAGATGAATAATTATGAACATGGAAAACAATTTACCAACTTCCTGGACACTATCATCAGGGCACAGTGCTTCTTACAAGTAAGGTTCCACTTTCTTCATATATACTCCACCACTTCTTACTAAAATTTATTTAGATATCCACTGAATACCCTTTGTTGGTGTGTGGCATAATTTGTAAACAGTATTTGCTCAGTTCAAAGCTCGTTATAAATAGAGTTGAGTTGAATTGACGTTTATCTCTGTACTGTTGGGTTTGAGGAAATAATTTGTTAATTTATGCAAATAAGAAAGGTCTATAAGAGAACAAACTGAAGATGTAATTGAATGCATTCAACTAATTGAATTAGCTGGTAACATAGACCTCATAGGGTTAATAATTGTGTTCTCATAATCAACAATATTTTTTAATGTTTTAGCCAATTAATTATTTGGTGTACGTAAGTAACCCTAGTTGTACTTTAAGCTGCAGTTCATTTATCAGCACCATCAAGAAGCCTATACTTATTGCCCTAGTCTGGATTAGATGTTTATTTTATGTGCTTCCTTAGTTCACTGTGCTTACCTGTATCATGGCACTTTCAGTATCTGTCTTTCCACATATTATGAGCTCCCAGCTGGTGGGAACCTTGTCTAACTTTTCTTCCTGTACAAGTGTTAAGCTTGGTACCTGGTACAAAAGAGGTGCATAATAAATGACTAAATCTTAAGGATTTGATGTGAAACTGTTGAATTGGAAGTTGAATGTATATTATGGTAGTGATGATAAAGGGATACGTTTAGGTTAACTTTTAGGTTTCCTGCTTGGCATTCAGTAAGAAAGAGGATATAGAAGGAACAGGCTTGGAAGGAAAGAATTTTGACTTACGTTTTTGAAGATTTTATTTATTTGAGAGAGAGAGAGCATGAGCAGAGGGAGGGGTAGGGGACAAGCAGACTCACTGCTGAGTGGGGAGCCCAATACAGGCTTGATCCTAGGACGTTGGGGTCATTGAGGTGAGCTGAAGTCAGATGCTTAACTGACTGAACCACCCAGGTGCCTCAGAAATTTGACTTAAAAGATGCCCATGGGATATCTGAAAGGTCGTATCCAGTAGATAGTTAGATAATGAGTCTAGAGCTAAGGAATGAGATTTGAGCTTGATATATAGCTTTAGGACTCCTCATGATACAGGTGGTGGTTTTAGCTATGTTGTAGATGAGATTATCCAGAGAATTCATGTCATGAAAAGAAAGTCTAGGATGGAGTCCTGGTACATGCCATTCTTTCAGGCTCAGGGCAACACAGGGAAGAAAGGAAAGCCCTAAATCTTTCGTGAAAACATAAGCAGTCTACACACTCAAGTGTTCCTTCAGATGGAGCTGCCCAGAGTTTGGATTTGGTCTATGGGCTCTAAAGAAATTATAGCCCTATTATAACATTGCATACGTTTTTAAAAGGATTTTATTTATTTCTTTGAGAGCGAGTGAGTGAGCAGAGGGGAGGAGCAGAGCCTGACACGGGGGCTTGATTCCACAATCCTGAGATCATGACCTGAGCCGAAATCAAGAGCTGGACGCTTAACCGACTGAGCAACCCAGGCGTCCAAACATTGTGTACATGACTGCATATACTCCAGAGTAGTACCATTTTATTTATCTTTAAAAATATTCCATAACTTGACTTTTTACCTTCTTTCCAATTGCTATTTTATGGTATTTGAGAAGTATGTTGATGAAGATGGTAACGTATCCAAATGTTAATCATCTGGTCCTTTTTGTGAGAAACTCTGGACCTAACCCAAGGCTTTTATTATATTGATGACAAAAAATTTAGTCTAAGAGTAAAACAACTATAGCACAGAATAAACAGCTTGCTTTAATTTTTCAAAGACTTTTTATTTATTTATTTGACGGAGAGAGAGATCACAAGTAGGCAGAGAGAGGGGGAAGCAGGCTCCCTGCTGAGCAGAGAGCCCGATGCAGGGCTCAATCTCAGGACCCTGAGACCATGACCTGAGCCGAAGGCAGAGGCTTAACCCACTGAGGCACCCAGGCACCCCTAAACTGGTTGTTTAGGGAGTAGTTATGGACCTAGGAGTTTCTTTTCTTTTTTTTTAAAGATTTTATTTATTTATTTGACAGAGAGAGAGCCAGAGAGGGAACACAAGCAGGGGGAGTGGGAGAGGGAGAACAGCCTTCCCGCTGAGCAGGGAGCCTGATGCGGGGCTCAATCCCAGGACTCTGGGATCATGACCCAAGCCGAAGGCAGACACTTAACGACTGAGCCACCCAGGTGCCCCTTGAGGAGTTTCATATGAGTTTTTATTATTGACTTTTGTTATAGGAGGGGTTTTATTCCTGTGAAACATTCCTGTACAAGAGCCTTCCTCTCTGGGATGGCTTCTGTTGTCGATCACAGTTCCTTCAACTTGTGACCTGGATTCCTTTTAGTAGCTTCTCTGGTATGTATCACGAAAATTTGGGGTCTTTTAACTCAGTGTAATATTAATTAAAGGAATCTTGAATAATCTTTTCTTTTTAATTCCTAGAGATGAAACCACTTCTTTTTGACCATCTGGCACAGCTCTTCTTTACATCAACCATTTATTTCAAGGTAAAAAAAAAAACTGTCTTGTTTAAATTGAATAGGAAGTACCATTTTATGGCCAGTGGTACATGATTCCAGACCCATACTGAAGTGGTGGTTTTTCAACAGGATTCCCTTGGACCTGGACTTGAGGTGTTGCATTACTCAAATCAAAGTAAATGCACAGAATTTTCTGTTTTAAAGGTTTTGTTGCATATAATTTTCCTGGATTGTTTTCACTTATAGCAGACAACAAAGTGAATGAACAGGTGGCAAATTTGTGTTAATAAAAAAAAAAAAGTGGGAAGTGCTTAACCTTACTTTGATAGTTGTGGTTGATATTTTTATAGATAGACTTATTTTACAAATACTTATTGAGAACCTACCATGTACTAGATGCCCTTCTTGACACTGGGAATACAGTAATGGCCAAAGAAAACAAAACCCCTGTGACATTCATATTGTATATTTATTACATACTCATTTTCTGCTAATAACATTATTCCAACCTTATACAATAAAATTAAAATGTGTTACCATTTTGGGGTATTCTCCAAAAAGACCACTGTGGCTTCCAAGAGTTTTACCCAAGTGAGTTTGAGAACCACTTTATATAGAATGGTTATTCCTATTCCAGAAGAATGACAATAAAAGCAATGTTTCTTTTGTAACATTGTTTTCACCTTAAATCACTTACTGTTGGCCACATTTACAGGAAGATGTTTTGTCCTGGTTAGTGTTTGTCATGTTCAAATGGCACTTTATTAATTACCTGTTACAATAACTTGGATTTGAGGTTTATTTATATTACTTGTACTTACTACCTGACCAATAGCATCATTCATGTGACAGTACATACCACTACTCCAAGCTAATGCATTTTTAGGGACTTCATTTTGCAGCCTTTTGTGATTTTCTTCCTATCTTACAATTGGGTTATTTTTTATCTCTTCTCTTACTCCACCAATCTAGAGAGCTGTTTATCTATAAATATTAGGTCAAACCATACGAAATTGTCATTTTTTGAAAGATTTGTATTTATTTATTTGACGGGGGTGGGGAGGGAGGGAGGGAGAGGGCAAGCACAAGTAGGGGGAGTGGCAGGCAGGAGAGAAGCAGGCTTCCTGCTCAGCAAGAAGCCCGATGTGGGGCTCCATCCCAGGAGCCCAGGATTATGACCTGAGCCAAAGGCAGTGGGTTAACTGACTGAGCCACCCTGGTGCCCCCGAAATTGACATTTTTATAGGTCAAAGATGTTTGATCAATGGCAATTTCATATGGTCTAACCTAATAACTATGTATACATTTATACACATATACATATATTTGAGAACGGGAGTCTGAGGAGAAAAAGGGATAGAGGAAATTAAATAGTTGGTGGGCCAAGGACAGAACTCGGGAATACTCAGTATTCTTAGCTAAAAAGATGAGTCTGTGAAAGAACCTTTTCAAGAGGTATGAAAAGAACCAGAAGAACAGTAGTGCCAAGGAAACAAAGGGAATACAGGATATCAAGAAGTAGTGAAGGAATAATGTTGCCGTATATCCCAGGAAGATCCAGAAAAATGAGGACCAAAGAAAGTTTCTTTTGAAATTGATAATACAGAAGTTTTGTGCTACCTTTGTGAGCAGTTTTAATGGAAGGTGGGGGAAGAACCAGATTTCTTTTTTCTTAAAGGGAGAGTCATTCTGATTTTATATTTACCTTCTCAAGGAAGAGGCTTATATTCTCATGTTAGCAGTGGGAAGCAAGGGCAGTGCTTACTTCCAGATGTTGAAGTGGAATAAGAAAATATATTCAGAGAAAACAGTGTCTTTGGGTGTTGAGGGAGAGCCAGGATATGACTATAATAAGACAGAAAGCATACTTTGAAGAATATTGAAGGTATAGGTTTAGATTACCATGGAATAGAAGTTCTGGAAACTGTAATTGATGATGAACATTTTTTCATGTGTCTGATAGCCATTTGTATGTCTTCTGTGGAGAAGTGTCTGTTCATGAATTCTGCCCATTTTTTGATGTGATTATGTTTTGTTTGTGTTGAGTTTGAGGAGTTCTTTATAGATCTTGAATATCAGCCCTTTATCTGCAGTGTCACTTGCAAATATCATCTCCCATTCCGTGGGTTACCTCTTTGTTTTGTTGACTGTTTCCTTTGCTGTGCAGAAGTTTTTTATCTTGACGAAGTCCCAAAAGTTCATTTTCACTTTTGTTTCCCTTGCCTTTGGAAACCTGTCTTGAAAGAAGTTGCTGTGGCTGATGTCGAAGAGATTACTATGTTCTCCTTAGGATTTTGATGGATTCTTGTCTCACACTGAGTTCTTTCATCTATTTAGAGTTTATCTTTCTGTATGGTGTAAGAGAATGGTCGAGTTTCATTCTGTATGTAGCTGTCCAATTTTCCCAGCACCATTTATTGAAGAGACTGTCTTTTTTCCACTGTATTTTTTCCTGTTTTGTCGAAGATTATTTGCCCATAGAGTTGAGGGTCCATATCTGGGCTCTCTACTCTGTTCCACTGGTCTATGTGTCTGTTTTTATGCCAGTACCACGCTGTCTTGGTGATCACAGCTTTGTAGTAAAGCTTGAAATCAGGTAATGTGATGCCCCCAGTTTTATTTTTGTTTTTCAAAATTTCCTTAGCGATTCGGGGTCTCTTCTGATTCCATACACATTTTAGGATTATTTGCTCCAGCTCTTTGAAAAATACCAGTGGAATTTTTATCAGAATGACATTAAAAGTATAGATTTCTCTAGGCAGTATAGACATTTTAACAATGTTTATTCTTCCAATCCAAGAGCATGGAATGGTCTTCCATCTTTTTGTGTCTTCAATTTCTTTCATGAGTGTTCTGTAGTTCCTCGAGTACAGTTCCTTTACCTCTTTGGTTAGGTTTATTCCCAGGTATCTTATGGTTCTTGGTGCTATAGTAAATGGAATCGATTCTCTAATTTCCCTTTCTGTATTTTCATTGTTAGTGTATAAGAAAGCCACTGATTTCTGTACATTGATTTTGTATCCTGCCACGTTGCTGAATTGCTGTATGAGTTCTAGTAGTTTGAGGGTGGAGTCTTTTTTGGGTTTTCCATATAAAGAATCATGTCATCTGCAAAGAGACAGAGTTTGACTTCTTCATTGCCAATTTGGATACCTTTTATTTCTCTTTGTTGTCTGATTGCTGTTGCTAGGACTTCTTTTTTTTTTTTAAATATTTTAAGCCATCATACTTTCTTTTCTTTTTTTTTCTTTTTTTTAAAGATTTTATTTATTTATTGGACAGAGAGAGAGATCACAAGTAGGCAGAGAGGCAGACAGAGAGAGAGGAGGAAGCAGGCTCCCCGCTGAGTAGAGAGCCCGATGTGGGGCTCGATCCCAGCACCCTGGGATCATGACCTGAGCCAAAGGCAGAGGCTTAACCCACTGAGCCACCCAGGCGCCCCTGTTGCTAGGACTTCTAATACTATGTTGAACAAGAGTGGTGAGAGTGGGCATCCTTGTTGTGTTCCTGATCTCAATGGGAAGGCTGCAAGCTTTTTCCCATTGAGGATGATATTTGCTGTGGGTCTTTCATAGACAGATTTTATGAAGTTCAGGAATGTTCCCTCTATCCCTATACTTTGAAGCGTTTTAATCAGGAACGGATGCTGGATTTTGTCCAGTGCTTTTCCTGCATCAATTGAGAGGACCATGTGGTTCTTCTCTCTTCTCTTATTAATTTGTTCTTTCACATTGATTGATTTGCAAATGTTGAACCATCCTTGTAGCCCAGAAAGATTTGGGAAGGATGAGAAGGGGTAAAGAAGGATGAAAGGGGGAAAGAAGCACAGAGAAGTACAGAGTAAAAGAAAGGATAAGCGATGAAAGGGGCTTTCATTTTGGTAGGTGGCTAAGGATAACAGCAGTGTGACATGGTAGTAGAATTAGCTAGGGATTCAGTTAGTTTATGAGGCTTTTATTATTATTATTATTGTTCTAAAATTATATGGGGGGAGGAGCAGAGGAAGAGGGGGAGAGAGAGAGTCTTAGCAGACTCCACGCTATGCGCAGAGCCTGTGTGGGCCTCTATCGCACCCTGAGATCGCGACCTGAGCTGAAATCAAGAGTCAGATGCTCAACTGAATGAGCCACCCAGGTGGCCCAGTTTACCAGGATTTTAAAAGGTAAAAGATTTATATGATCTGAAGAGGAACCAGAGTATAGTTTATGAGGATTTTTAATGACTATTATTTTAGCTGTTGTATAACTTGATTATTTAGCTTAATATAACAAATAAACAATATTTTTTTAAAGATTTTATTTATTTGAAACAGAGAGAGATCACAAGTATGCAGAGAGGCAGGCATAGAGAGAGAGAGGAGAAAGCAGGCTCCCCGCCGAGCAGAGAGCCCGATGTGGGCCTCGATCCCAGGACCCTGAGATCATGACCTGAGCCGAAGGCAGAGGCTCAACCCACTGAGCCACCCAGGCGCCCACAAATAAACAATATTTTAAAAAGTCTATTAAAACATTTCCAGTGCTTTTGTTTGTGCTTAGCTGGTTGTGTCTATCAGCAAACAACTTTTCTCACTGAAGAATTATGAATGAGAAAAGTCTACAAATCTACTGTAACAATGCTGTTTTCATTGTGGCATGTTAATTTTCTCATTTCTGTCCACATTGATTTATGTCTCCTGTATAATTACAAAAAGAGTGTATATCAATTTAAAAACTGGGATGCCTGGGTATCTCAGTCAGTTATGCGTCTGCCTTTGGCTCAGGTCATGATCTTGGGGTCCTACAATTGAGTCCCATGTCGGGCTCCTTGCTCAGCAGGGTGTTTGCCTCTCTCTCTGCCTGCCACTCCTCCTGCTTGTGCTTTCCTTCTCTCTCTGGCAAATAAATAAATGAAATACTGAAAAAAAACCAAATAAATTTAAAAACCAGGGTACAAGATTTGTCAAATATAGTCAAATGTATTCATAGTCCATAGATGTTATACCACAGCGAATTTTTTTCTATTATTATTTCTAATTTGTTTCTTTGTAGGAGTAGATAACTATGTTGATCATCTTCATAATACAGATTTCTTCATTCTTTTGGCATACATTTCCAGGAATGAAGTTACTGGATGAAAGAAAAGAGTTTGAATATTTTTCATGACCTTGTTACATGCTGGTATTCCTTTGCCATACACAGTTCTTTGAGGGCAGATGGATATAATGGGTAGAGTACTTAAATAACAAGGGTCTGGCAGCCATGGAGAAAGAATTGGGGTTTGGAAGATGAGACTAAAGAAGACTGACTAGGAGGACAGAGTAATCTCAGAGATGTGAAGGCCAGGGCAAGGGTAGTTACAGTGGGATTGGAGACGGAAAAGTTGGACATTTTGAAAAGAAAGAAAAATGATAGGATTTGGAGACGAAGAAAAGCATGAAGGACACAAGATGACTTTATGATTTCTAGCTTGGTATAGTAAAGGAAGCAGGGATATTTTGCCTGGAGGAAAACAACTAAGATTTTGTGGGTCCTTTCAAATAATTGGTGGATTGAATTCATGGTGTCAGTTTCTTTAAAAAGTATTAATTGAACTGTTCTGTGAAGTGAGCATCCTATCACTGGAGATACTCAGATAGCATCTAGGCCAGTATTTGTTAAGGATATGTAATAAAGGTTTCCTGTATTAGGTTTTGGGATGATGTGGAGAGCTTTCAAATTTATAGATTTATCCTCATGAATGCTCTGAGCACATCTCTGTTAAGACTGTGTTTCTATGTAAATGAGGCCCTGCGAAATCAAGGCAAAGCCTGAGAAAGGAAAGACTAGAATTGTTTGTTTTCCAGTTACAGAAGGTAAGATAAATTTTTTGACTATCAAAAAGGGAGTAAATTATAGTTGTGACACAGGGTGAAACGGATAGGCAACTCATTTCCATAGCAACTTCAAAGGATCTCTGAGGGGAGATAGTAAGTAGTGGGTGATACTGTATTTGAAGATATGATATATGTTATAAATGAATGTAATTTAGAGAAACAAGAGTCTGTTCCTGGGCTGATAAGCTGGGGGGCAGTCTTGTAGAGAAAACAGCAATAAACTTGTACTTGCATTCATCTATCTCTTGGAGACTGATCAGGCTGTAGTAGTAGCTGTTGGGCTCTGATGCAAGATGCAGTAGCTGGATGCAATCATCCCCATGGTCCTGTCCATCATTAAGCCTCTGGTTTAATTTGTTAGTTCTCAACACTAAAATGTGTCTGAATGATTTTATGAATGATTTTTTTTTTGTTTTCTTTTGCCTTCTCAGTGTAGTGTTCTCCAGTGTCTGAAAGAACTACTGCAGAATTGGCTGTTGTGGCTTTCTGCAGATATCCACATGAAACCTGTGATGAACAGTCCTCTGTGAGTCTTAAAACACTCCACAAGAAATGATCTGTACAAAAATGTTTGCATGTAGAGTTTAATAGTGTGTCATGAGACCTTATTGTAAATGCTTAATCATAGTTTTCTAAAAAAATTTTTTTTGTAACTTTTCGCTCTTTTCCCTACAATCCTGTGAGGAAGGGTAATTCCTCAAGTTCAGTTCTGTAAATCAGAAAACAACCCCTAAGCCTCTTAAGTGACTTGCAAGAGTTATTGTAGCAAAATATTGGAGAGGTGATGTTAGAACTTACATATTTGACTTGCATTCAGTTTAGCTCACTTTAGAAAACATGTTCTTACTTATATGTAAAATCAGTCTGATAATGGCTAGGAAAATCTGTAATTTTGCAGTACAGTTTTGGGGGTTTTTTTTTGTTTCTTTGGTGTCTTTTGATTATATACATTAGTCAGTTAATTACTTGATTATGTATAGTATTTTCACTTTGGAATAAAGAGCCCCAGATTTCCATTATGTTGATTATTATTAAAGGTGTGCTTTGACTCTTTCTACTAAAATCCTTGTTTTCCCCTATATTATCAGCCACATTATTCTTTAACATTTATTTTAAAAAATCCTCTATTGTAGAAAACTGCAAACATAATCAAAAGTGTAGGAAATAGTGGGATTCTTTCCTTCTCTGCCCCTCCCCCTGCCTCTCTCCCTCTCTGCTCCTCCTCCCTCTCTGCCCCTCCCCCCTTTCTAAAATAAATGCATCTTTTATTTTATTTTTTAAAAGATTTTATTTATTTTTGTGAGAGCGAGAGAGAGTAAGCGGGGGGAGGGGGGTGGTGAGAGGGAAAAGCAGACTTCCCACCTAGCAGGGAGCCCAATGTGGGACTTGATTCCAGGACCCTGGGATTGTGACCTGAGTGGAAGGCAGACACTTAACCAACTGAGCCACCCAGGTGCCCCCAAATAAAATCTTTTTTAAAAAAGTATAGAAAATGATACAGTGTTACCCCTATATGTGCATCATCCAACTTCAACAGTTACCAGGTCATGATTAATTTTTTAAAAGATTTTATATATTTATTTATTTGAGAGAGAGTGAGAGAATGCACACACACACAAGCTGGGGGAGGGTCAACCAGACTCTCTGCTTAGCAGCGAGCCTGACACGAGTCCTGATCCCAGGACCCCGAGATTATGACCTGAGCTAAAATCAGATGCTTAACTGACTGAACCACCCAGGCACCCCTAATTTTTAAAAATTTCTAACACTCCTCACTTTCTTCTTCCTCTCTTCCAGATTTTCTTTCTTTCTTTCTTTCTTTCTTTTTTTTTTGCAGTATATCTTTTTTTATTGTGTTATGTTAGTCACCATACATCATTAGTTTTTGACGTAGTGTTTCAAGATTAATTGTTCTAGATTTTCTTAAATCTTTTTTTAAGATTTTATTTATTTGAGAGAGAGAGAGAGGGAGCATGAGAGGGGAGAAGGTCAGAGGGAGAAGCAGACTCCCCATGGAGCTGGGAGCCTGATATGGGACTCGATCCCAGGACTCTGGGATCATGACCTGAATGAAGGCAGCTGCTTAACCAACTAAGCCACCCAGGCGCCCTGTTCTAGATTTTCTTAAGCAAAAAGCAAAACCCAGACATCATTTCAGCTGTTGAAAAATGATAACCAGTATAACACCAAAAGAATTAATCGTTTATTTTATCATCATTTAAAAACGTTCTAATTTTTTAAAAGATTTTATTTATTTATTTATTTGAGTGAGAGAGAATGAACAAGAGCACAAGCAGGGGGAGAAGCGGAGGAAGAAGGAGAAGCAGACTCCCCACCAAGCAGGGAGCCCGATATGGGGCTTGATCCCAGGACCCTAGGATCACGATCCGAGTTGAAGTCAGACACTTAACCAACTGAGCCATCCAGGTGCCCTAAAAACATTTTTTTAAAAGATTTTATTTATTTATTAAGCAGAGAGGCAGGCAGAGAGAGAGGGAGATGCAGGCTTCCTGCTGAGCAGAGAGCCCGATGCTGGACTCGATCCCAGGACCCTGAGATCATGACCTGAGCCGAAGGCAGAGGCTTAACCCACTGAGCCATCCAGGCGCCCACCTAAAAACATTTTTAATTGAAATACAATTGACATGCAATATTATATTAGTGTACAACATGGTGATTTGACAATTCTATATACTACACAGTACTAACCATGATAAGTGTAGTTGCCATCTGTCACCAAAGTTATTGCTATATTATTGACTATATTCCCTATGCTGTTCTTTTCAACCCTGTGACTTATTTTATAACTAGAAGTTATACCTTTTAATCTCCTTCACCTCTTTTGTCTCCCCCCACCCCACCACCTCCATCTCTTCTGGCAGCCATTAGTTCTCTGTATTTATGAGTCTGTTCCGTTTTTTTGTTTCTTTATTCATTTGTTTTTCCACATGTAAGTGACATCATATGGTATTTGTCTTTCTCTGATGTATAAAAAATAAATAGTTCTTAATATCTTTAAATATCTAATCAACATTCAAATTCCCTATATTATCAGTCATAATCTTACTTAATCTTATTTATATGTAATCTTATGTAATCTTCCTTATACAAAGTATAAGGATCCTTCAGCTTCAGTTGCATGTAGTTAGTGGTTAGCTTGGTTAGATTAGCTCCTACTTTTCTGTTTTTTTTTTTTTTTTAAGATTTTTATTTATTTATTTATTTGACAGAGAGAGAGAGATCACAAGTAGGCAGAGAGGCAGGCAGAGAGAGAGGAGGAAGCAGGCTCCCCGCTGAGCAGAGAGCCCGATGCGGGACTCGATCCCAGGACCCTGGGATCATGACCTGAGCCGAAGGCAGAGGCTTTAACCCACTGAGCCACCCGGGCGCCCCAAGATTAGCTCCTACTTTTCTATATGTACTTACCCCTATAGTGATCTTTTACTTTGAAATGAGCATGGTGAATAGAAACTTCTTGGGAGTTGCCTGGAAATTGTTTTTAGTTCTTCATATTCATTTTTGCAGTGTGTCTGTATTCTATGTATGTCTTTTACTTTTAGAAGGAAATGGAGCATTATGAGTGGTAAGAGCATCTTGTAAGGCTGTGCTTCTCAAAGTCTGGTCCCTGGACCAGTAGCATCAGCATCACTGGGAACTTGTTAGAGATACAAAGTCTCAGGTCTTAACCTAGACCTACTGAAATAAACTCTGGAGGTAGGATTTAGTAATCTATGTTTTAACAAATGCTCTCATGATTTTGGTGCTAGCTAAAGTTTGAGAACCATGATCATAAATTAATTTAAATGTTTGGCCTCTTCAAACATCTCAGTTCTATTAAGAAGAGTATGTTTGAGTTTATAATCTTTGGGAAATTTACAATGTGAGTCTTTAGGCACCCTGATATAGGAACTTTACAATTCCTTTATTTCCAAAATTCCTAGCAGCCTTTTAAAATTAGTGTCATAAATTTTAGGAGGGCATTTATTTATTTATTTATTTTTATTTAAATTCAATTAACATATAGTGTGTTAATTAGTTTCAGAGGTAGAGTTCAGAGATTTATCAGCCTTATATAATACCCGGTGCTCATTACATCATGAGAGGGCATTTTAAAAGGAGCTTTGTTAGGCACTTGGGTGGTTCAGTCAGTTGAGTGTCTGCCTTTGGCTTGGGTTATGATCCAGGAGTCCCAGGATCAAGACCTGCATTGGTCTCCCTGCTCAACAAGGAGTCTGCTTCTTCCTCTGACCCTCACCCTGCTCATGCTTTCTCTCTCTCTCTCTCATTCTCTCTCAAATAAATAAATTTGAAAAAAATATTTAAAAAAAATAAAAGGAGCTTTGTTTTCTAAAATTCTTAAATGGACATAAATATAGATAACTTTAATGTCATAACACCATTTGGCATTATATAATACAGGGGTTTTTTGGGTGTAAAATGGTGGTTTTATTAAAGTGCGGGGACAGGACCAGTGGGCAGAAAGAGCTGCTATCTATAATATAGTTCTTAGGTTCTCAGTAACTTCTTTTATTTGGACATATTGAAGTAATGCCATGTCCCTCTCATATGACCATATGCCACATGACTGTCAAAGGGAGTGAACTGTAGTCGTATTATGTAGGGTAGGAAACCATTCTCAGAAGTGGTCCTTCATTGGGCATTTTTGGTTGGTACAGTGAATGGGAAGAGTGTGGTACCAGTATTTAGTAGGTGGGAGCCAAGGATGGTAAATGTACTACTGTGGGTGGGGAGAGTAGGAGACAATCCTGAATAGGGAATTGTTTCATCCAAAATGCCTCTGGTGTCCTGTGGAGAAAGACTTCAAAGGAAGCTGTTCTGAGCAGTCATCACTGTTCAAGTTATTTTAGACACATTTCCCAGGTGCTACCAAAAATCATAGTTAAAATATAGTTTTCAAATGGCCAGCTGAGTATATGGATGCCCACCTATGTGAATGGTCTCCTAATCTTTCCCTGCTCACTCTGGCACTGAGCTATCACAGTGGTGGGTAGTGGTAGAGTCATCATTTCTCTGGCTCTAAGACTATATGATGTTCTTTATTTCTTGTGCATAACCATTGTTGGCTACCTAGATCAGAGGATAAAGCTGTGAAATCACATTTCTAGATCTTTTCCTAATCCACTTAACAGTGGATTGAAGGACAGGGGTGAGTAGATGGATAAATTGAACCAGTTATACCCAGGTATAATTTAAAGAGACACAGTTCATTGATTTGGGAAGAATATGACGTATCTAATTTGGTTTTTAGTGGAAGATAGAAAGATGCCAAAAATTTTTCTAATTCAGTTTTCAGATTGAATTTAATTCCAGTTAAAGTGAAAATATTTTTAATAGCATTTCAGCTCAGGAATTCAGCTAAAACTGGGTCTTGATTTGTATACTTAGAAACTAATTTGCCAAATGCTGTGGTTCCTGGACATAGGGAATATTATCAAAAGTTTTTGTGGAGCTTAATACTTTATTTCTCTGGTATTTAGTAGAATGGTTGCTGAAGATGTTCTGTGCGTAGATCTTAATGATTCCCTGGAGGGCTGTGTAGTTTTATGGTTGATCACTGTGGTTTTAAAAAAAGTCAATTATACATTGGAGCACTGATTGTTTTCTGAAATCCTTAACTTTTTGCTATGTATTATTTACCTCTGGCTTGGAAATTGTGAAAACATTTGCTAATATGGATCTGAATGTCATGATTTCTTATTTCAGAGAGACAACTTTAGGTGGATCCATGAACTCTGTGTCTGAACTGATTCACTACGTGGGGCAGCTGTCCATTACTGCAGTGCGCTTGGAAAACAACAGTACTTTCTTACTGCACTTTATTTTGGATTTCTATGAGAAGGTAGTACACTTCCCAGTTTTTTCTATTTAGATTTTTGTGATGGTGGTCTGCTTTACTGCTCTATTTTTAAATTTTATGTATGACTCTTAGTTGGGTTTTGACCTTATTAGCATAGTTAAAATAAGCTACTTATTTTGACGTTAATGATCATATTCTCACCTGAATAACTGACGTTCATAAAGTGGAGAAACAAGTGCTTTTTGTGAAGAGTTCAGGTACTGCTTTAATAGACATTCCCCGGAAGAATGCAGACCCTAGACAGAAGTCTGTCTCTAGCATCACTTTTTGCTAATTCATTGTACATCCCAGACCCCTGGCAAAAACACAAAAATACCCTGTTTTTTCTTCAGCTCTCCACTTCCACCTTTCAACTGCCTTATTTCTCATAGTACCTATAATTCTGGTCTTCTTCAATTTTTTATAGTATTTGATGTAGAGAGAACTATTATCCTAGAAGTACCCACTAATTCCAGTTTTCCTGGCTTCCTCCCTGTACTAATTGTTTTGTGTTAGATATTTATGTAGAAGTATGCTCCTTTGTTTTCTAGCTTGACAGCTAACTAATATGACAAATCAGTATTAATGGGACTTAAGGTGAAAGAAGCTCTCCCTTCCTCTTTCTTCCCAATTCAAAGATCTCTTCCCAGAAAAAAAATGGGATATTTTAGTAATGACCTTGTAGAAATAATCCTCTATGGCAAGTGTGATGTTTAGTGAGGTATATTTTTAAGCAGGCTTATGGCTCCCTATTTTATGAATTATATTCTATTATGAATTATATTATGAATCAGTGAGGCCCAAATCTAATGTTTTATTATTGCTTATTCTCTATTGCTACTTTGGGTGAACTTGGTTCAGGAGTTCTGGGGAATAATCTATATTCTGATGTTATCATTCTTTCCAAAAGGTGTGTGACATATATATAAATTACAACCTTCCATTAGTGGTGTTGTTTCCTCCGGGGATCTTCTATTCTGCTCTCCTCAGCCTAGATTCCAGTATCCTGAATCAGCTATGTTATATCATGCACAGGTACAAAGCATTTCTTGTGTTTTTAAATGAGCACGTCATACTTCTTTGTTTTTCAACTGTACAATAAATTATAATTTATAAATACACTATAATAAACTTTATATAAGATGTAATAAAATATTAAATACAATAAAACTATTTCCATTTTCTGCCAGAAGCTATGGAAATAGGAAATATGTCTTTCTTTTGGTAATGACCTTCCAAAAGGGTATATTTTAACTGTGTTTTTGAGGTGTCACTGTGGGGGATATGGATTTTAAAAATTCATAGTTAATGGGAATAAAAGGCACAGCATAAGGAATATAGTCAGTGATACTATAGCATTGTATGGTAACAGGTGGTAGCTACAGTGAGTGGTGAGCATAGCATAATGTATAGATTTGTCAAATCACTGTGTTGTACACTTGAAACTAAGGTAGCATTGTGTATCAGCTAACACTCATTTTTAAAAATTAAATATTCATAGTTGAAGAATTTTTTGTGCAATGGTAGTGGTGCACTCAGCATTTTTCATTCTCATTGCTGTGTCTTAAAGAAAAATTAGTCATTTACTGACAACCGATTTGGGTCTATGTAGCTTCTCTGATAAAACGAACATTTTTTGGGAGATTGGGGAAACTATTTTATTGCCAATTATATGAAACTAAGTATTATTTCTAATCCCCTCTAGTTCTTTCATTTATAGGCTTAAATTACACTTTTTAGTCCACAAGTGTTGTAGACCCTTTTGGCAAAACTTGTAGGAATATGCCAAGGTTAGAATTTTGTAAACTGATTAAGTAATAGTTCCTAGGCCAGAAAAAATTTTTATAAGTTTCTCCTTTATCCTTTCTACTGTACCTTTTTTTTACATTAAGAAAACATGTTTTAAATCAGTGACTGCTCTTTTTTTAAAAAGATTTTATTTATTTATTTGAGAGAGAGAGACATAAAAAGCATGAATGGGGGGAGGGGGAGGGACAGAGGGAGAGGGAGAAGCTGACTCCCCCTCGAGTGGGGAGCCCTAGACAGTGCTCAATTCCAGGACCCTGCGATCATGACCTGAGCAGAAGTCAGTTGCTTAATCTACTCAGCTACCCAGGTCCCCCATCAGTTTCTGGTATTGAGTTTCTATTAATTTTTTTATAATGAAACATTAAAAGCATTTTCTTCATTGTTTTTTATTTTTTATTCAGGTATAATTTACATGAAGTCAAGTGGCATATCTTAAATATATAACTCAATGTTTGAGTCTCTATTAATTTTTATTCTTTGAGAAGAGTGTAGCACAGAAGAATAAAATCCTTAACTAGACAGCTGGGTATTTGTGTATGTGTACATCTGCATATATTTACATTTAAAATGTACACTTTTGTTTATGTTTACATTTCAAAAGCATTTAAAGTTCAGAATTTCATTCTGTTCTCCCTTTTAGGTATCGTAACAATTTGACAGCTGCCAAGAAAAATGAGTTGTTACAAAAGGTATGGATGATAAAGCTCTGTTTTAAATCACCAGTGTTTAAAAATTGAGTTTTGGATATATATGATCTAGGAATAAGAAGGAAAGGGAAGCTAGGTGATAATGAGAATATTCTTTTTCTTTCCCAATAGACAAAATCAGAGTTCAATTTCAGCAGCAAGACCTATCAAGAATTTAATCACTATTTGACAGCCATGGTTGGTTGTCTGTGGACATCCAGACCTTTCCAGAAAGGATTATATATTGATCCTGAAGTCTTAGAAAAAGCTGGAATAGCAGAGTATAAAAACAGTTTAAATGTAGTTCATCACCCTGCTCTACTGAGTTATGCTGTTTCCTTTCTGATACAGGTAAGGACATTTGAAAGATTGTTAGATTTTATATAGGAATACTACAATAGCAGAAATAAGAAGTGCCATAAATTTAGTGTGTCTGAATTGTAAGACATGTTCAGTCATTCCTTTTAAAGTGTTAGTTTGATTTTGGGTATTGTGCTAGGCTCTGGAGATTCAAAGTTAATTTAAGTTTCTACCCTCTCAAGAGCTTGGGCTTGTGGCAGAGACAAACTTGTAAATGTTACTATAATACAGAGAGGTGAAATGAGAAAAGGTACAGTCATGAGAAAGCTGGGGGAGTGATTATTAATTCAGTTCTGCGTGGGTAGAGATGGTACCAGGTAAGATAAGGCTGTGGAGAAGTAGAAGCTCTCAAAAATCCTTCTAGACAAGACAGAAAATGTAGGCTAGATAATATTATAATTAGAGTTGGAATCTTTACCAAAGACTGCTGATCTAATGGATATCAATATTCTGGAAGGGAGGGAGTGTGGTTTTCTCAGGACTTTATCATCAGCCCAGTCATTTTCATTCCTTACTGTAGTGTTAGATCTTTGTTACTTCATTCCTTTATCAGTGACTTGAGGAATTCAGATGGTGTGGTTATCAAACATGTGGATGACAAAACAGGATGAGATTACAAATACACTGATAGAATCTAGATTCAGAATTCCCTTAACAGATTGGAACATTGAGGAATCAAACAAAATGAAAAAGAAATGTACAGAATGGGGAGATATTCATTGAATAATTGCTTAATATGTACATGCAATGAACTAGGCACTGTGGTGAGTAAGACACATCTGGGTGTTGTCCTCACAGAGCTTACAGTCTAGTTGGGGAGGTAGTCATTAAATAGACATCGTAGAATAAATACTGATGAGTAATACAGGGAAAGTACAGAGGATGATGAAAAAACGTATAGGGATGCTCACCCAGTTCAGGCTTTAGAGAAATGATGCTAATCAGAGCTTTGAATGATGAGCATGATCTTGTTAAGACAGGAGAAGTATTTGAAGAAAAGTGCAAAGATAGAGCAGGAGACAGTAGATTTTTTCTGTTACAGGGCTAGATGGTAAATATTTTTGGTTTTGTAACCATGTTGTCTCTGTCAGGACTACTCAGCCTTGCCAGTGTAGTGTGAAAGTAGCCATAGACAGTGGGTAAACAATGGACAGAGTTGTGTGCTAATGAAAGTTTATTTACAGAAACAGGTATTGGGTTGGGTGTGAGCCATGGGCTATGGTTTGCTGGCCTCTATTTAGAGCTTGTCATGTTTGAGGAACTGAAGTAGTAACCGTAGGGCTTGAGCAGGGGTTTTACCCTAGCTGAGCAGAAGCATCCAGGGTGCTTTTTCAAAGTATACCTCCTTGATTGCTCCCACCCTGAGAGCCAGATTCTGATTTAATAACTCTAGGGTGACATCCAGAATCTCCTTTTTAAAATAATTATTCTGATATACAACAGGGGTTGAAAAACCACTGGGCTAGCCCGTAGCATGATAGGAGATGAGGTCTTGAAATGTAGTCAGGGACCAGATAATGAAAAAAGTATTATACAGGCCTTCAAAAACATATTGATTGATTTCAGTATTGGAATAAAAATTACATTTTTAAATACATAGAGGGATTTCAGAGCTGTAGAGTTTAGTGATTTTCTGATATTTTTTTTTACCTTCATAACTTGTCTGATTTATCATATATGAAAACTTGTTTCAAATTAATAGTATTTACTATTAATAATGAGACTAGTGGATGAAATTTGAAATAATTTTAGTTCTTTTTGCCTCTGGACTAAATCCTACTTATACTGCATAGTGCATGTACTATATTTTATATATATTTAGATATACTGGTTTCAGTTTCTTGTTTTTTTTGAAGATTTTATTTATTTATTTGACAAAGATCACAAGTAGGCAGAGAGGCAGGCAGAGAGAGAAGGGGAACCAGGCTCTGTGCTGAGCAGAGAGCCCGATGCAGGGCTCCTTCCCAGGACCCTGAGATCATGACCTGAGCCGAAGGCAGAGGTTTAGCCCACTAAGCCACCCAGGTGCCCCTGGTTTCAATTTCTTTTCATGTCTTAGAGGTTGCTTTTTAAAATTTAATTTCATTCCTAGAATATGTAAAGCACTCACCTGATTCCAAATTCTAAACTATAGAAATCTCGCTTCCATCCTTGTCTCCTTCTTTTCTCTTCTTTGTCTTTAGGTAGCCATTTTTATTGCTACTTGTTTTTCCCATCAACTGTTTCCTTTCTTTAAACTTAGTAAGCATTGTTTGGGGCACCTGGGTGGCTCAGTCAGTTAAGCATCTGCCTTCAGCTTGGGTCATGATCCCAGGGTCCTGGGATTGAGCCCTGCATCGGGCTCCCTGCTCCGTGGGGATCCTGCTTCTCTCCCTCTCCGTCTGCCTGCAGCTCCCCCTGATTGTACTCACTCTCTCTCTTTTTCTGTGTCAAATAAATAAATAAAAATCTTAAAAAAATAAATAAATAAACTTAGTAAGCATTGTTTTATAATCTGTGTCTGACAATTCTAGTACCAGAAGTTTTCATGTGTATCTGTTACCTCCTTTTTCTGCTGCTGCTTCCTCATGTTGTGTGTCTGGTTATCTTTGGCCATGTGCTGGATACCTGGAATATTATTTGTAGAAAGGATCAGAAGATTAGAGTGAGATCTTCCTGCAGAGAGAACTTTAATTTACTTCCTGCAGATACCTAGGAGTTCTGTTTGTCTGGGACAACCCTAATCCAAGTTCTCTGCCTAAGGTTCCTTGGATCATAGGTGATTAGACTGCCAGCCTGAGAGAAGGCTAATTTACTTCCGGTGAATTCTTACCTTGAGGGTATAGCCTTTTGGGTTTGCGGTGTAAAGTGGGGGTTGGTTTATAAGAGTTCACAATTTTGGCAAACCTTGTGCTTTGACTTTAGGTACCTTAGCCCTTTGAAGCTGTGGAAGTGCAGCTCAATTTTGCAGCGGATGCCTCTGGATTGGCAAATTGGCAAAAGCCAAGAGTGACTTTGAGAATTAGGTTTAGCCATCTGGGTTCTCATCTTCTAGATATTGGCTTGCCTTACCATAGATTTTGGCTTTCCTTACCATAGAGTTAGGTCTTTTTTACCTTTTTTTTTTTTTTTTTTACAAATTTCTTTTGTGTTGTAAATTTCAAACATACACAAGTAGAGAGAATAGTATAATAGACCCCCACATACCCATCGCCCAGTTCAGTCTCTACTCCCACCCAGTGTTACCCTCTCACCCCACACAATTATTTTGAAGCAAAAACCAAATGTTATACAATCTTGCTGTAAATGCTTCATTATAAACCTTTAAAAGATAGGGACACTTTTTAAAAATTTGTCTTTTTAAAACAGCTTTATTAAGATACGATTCAAATATAATTTATAATTCACACATTTAAAATATACAGTTCAGTGTCTTCTAAAGTGTATTCACAGAGCTGTGCTTCATCATAATATATTTTATAATATTTTTATTATCCCAAAAAGAAACCCTAAAACCCTTAGCTGTCACCCCTGTCTCCTCATTCCCTGCCCCCATCCTGGCAAATACTAACCTATTTTTATATCTATGTAGATTCACTTACTCTGAAAATTCATAAAAATGAACTCATACATGTTATTCTGTTACTGGCTTCTTTCACTTAGCATAATGTTTTCAAGGTGCGTCTGTGGCATAGCATGTATCTGTACTTCATTTGTTTTTATTGCCAAGTAATACTTTTTAGTACAGATGTGCTTCATTTTGCTTATTCATCAGTTGATGGACTTCTGGGTTATTTCCACTTTTTGGCTATTATGATTGATCTTCTATAAAGATTTGTATACAAGGTTTTGTGTGAACATGTTTTCCTTTCTCTTGGGCATATACTTAGGGGTGAAATGCTGGATTTTACGGTACCTCTATGTTTAACTACTGGAGGAACTTCCAGACTGTTTTCCAAAGTAGCTGCACCATTTTACTTTCCTACCAACAGTGTGGAAGTGTTCTATTTTCTCCATATCCTCCCAACACTTGTTATTCTCTGTTTTTTATTTATTCCAGCCATCCTAGAGGGTATGATGTAGTAACTTATTGTGGTTTCAGTTTTCATTTCCCTGATAGCTGTTTATGTTCAGTGTCTTTTTATGTGCTTATTGCCTGTTGCCCATTATATATTTTCTTTGGAGAAATGTCTATTCAGACCTTTTGCCCATTTTTAAATTAGGTTGTGTTACTGTTATTGACTCATTGAGAGTCATTTCTACATTCTAGTTTCAAGTTACTTCTCAGATACATGATTTACAAATGTTTTCTATTCTGTGGGTTGTCTTTTCATTTTTTCATTGATCTCTTGAAGAACAGAAGTTCTTAATTTTGGTGAACTTTTAATTTATGAATTTTTTTCTTTTGTCTCTTGTGCTTTTTAAAAATGATTTCCTATGTCCCCATCCCCTCCAGCCCCTGGCAACCACCATTCTGCTCTTAACTTCTATGAGTTTGATTGTTTTAGTTTCAACATGTAAGTGGTATCATGTAGTATTTGTCCTTCTGTGTTTTGCTTATTTCACCTAGCATAATTTCCTTCAGGTTTATCCATGTTCTCTAAATGGCAGGATTTCCTTCTTCTGAAAGGCTGCATAGTATTCCATTGTATGTATATACCACATTTTCTTGATCCATTCATCTGTTGATGGATATTTAGGTTGCTTCCCTGTCTAGGCTATTGTGAATACTGCTGTAGTGAAGAGAGTTTAGAGAGGTCTTCAAGATCCTAATTTCAATTCCTTTGGGTGTATACCCAAGAGTGGAATTTCTGGAGCATATGGTAGGTCTATTTTTAATTTTTTGAGGACTCGCCATACTGTTTTCCATAGCAGGGCACCAATTTACATTCCCATTAATAGTGTACAAGGGTTGCCTCTTCTCTACATTCTTGCCAACACTTGTTATTGTTTGTTTTTTGATAAAATTAATCTTAACAGTTATAAGGTGATATCTCATTGTGGTTTTGTTT